TATACTTATTACCCAAAACTGATGTTGATAATATATTATGTATAGGATATAGCCCTCATAAAACTTTTAAAAAATGGTTTTTCATGCCTAAAATTTCCAGTCCAAAATTGGCCCAGTTCCTTTATAAATTCCATTTACTGCTTTGTCTAACCCTGAGCTCACCCACCCTATTTCTATACTAAAGAATGACTGTTTTCCCACTGTACTATGCATCATCCAGATAAGAACTAAATAATTCATAAAATCATTCAGGGACTTTTGTATATCCAGATGCACTTACATGATGCATGGACAACTTTTGTCTGTAGTAAACATAAAAATATTTAATACAAAGAATAACACTATCTGAAATTCTCACATAGACTTCCTCTATAGAAAGCATATTTTGTGTAAAACAAACTCAATAAAACGTGTTGTAATTTCACATGTCTTACACAGTGATTTTTTTTTAATATAATCTGTTTCTAAATAAATTCAGCACTTAATTCTCACTCTTCCTGATGGAGTTTTGGGCTTGTAGATTAGTGTTTACTCCTGGGTCCTATTTAACTACTATGTTTATGAATCATGTCCTATGACCAGTTTTTATTTACTAACACACAGGGATGTGTGACTAATGTCACTATTGATAATACCTAGTTACTGGCTGAGAAACCAAAACCATGAGGTGGGTCAGGAAAAACTGGCTCAGTCACTGCCTTGTTCTTTATTTGACCTGGATAAAAAACAAATACTACAGCCTCCAGCATGATCATTCAAAACATTTATTTAACATTATGCACTTCTAGAATTCTATGTCAATTTTTTTCTTATAAATAGAAAGAATTCCAAATGTGTGTTGTAGAGTGAATGTGTATAATAAATGGATATATGTACCTTTTATAGCAAAAAAAAAAATATTGGTGATGAATGAATCTTGGAAAAAAAGTGCATGGATGATGTAATCATTTTGTAAGTTATTATAGCTAGAGCTCAAAGATATGGAAGATGAGATTTGGAATGAATGCTATCTATTAAGATAAACCATGTATTTTTATAGTATTTAAGACCAATTTCTTTTGTCTTCTATATTAGCATTATCTTAGCATTGTTGAAATCTAAGCTCATGCCATTCCCAAAGGTTTTTCTCTTTAAGACAGGTTTTCTCCCAACATTCTCAATGTATATCAGTCTTCAGAAAACATAATAATATAAGTAATTTTTAGGTTATGAAGTGCAGTCATAGATATTGTTGCTCCACTTGGCTCTCTCAAAAACCTAGTGAAATATACAGGCAAAGCACCATTACTATCCCAGTATTCAAACTGAGGAAATGTAGTACAAACAGTTACCATTATTGTAAGTGGGAGGAATAGAGCTGGACTAGGGGCCTCTGACTTCAATCCTGAGCTCTCTGAACTATGGCAAATCTGCGTTTAATTGGTTATAACACCCAAATACAGATACACTAATTAACACTTTCTATAAAGCATTCTATATGTATGGATATATATTCAATGCTTAAATCTACATTTTTAATGTCAACATATTTTAGAAATGATCTGCCATATCCATGCCTTTCTTTAACAGTCTTTTCACCGACCAATCTAGGAGAATATTTTTCTGCTTAAGCAGCCATTCTTCTTGGCTTCTGCGGTTGCCCCCTTCCTCATTGGAACTTCAAACACCTACTTCATCTGCCAGCTCCCTTGATTAAATTTCTGGGGCTTTCCATGCGCACTGGTATTTCTTCTTTGACATGGGTCTTTGCTCATTTGTTTTTTCTTCTTTGAGCGCCATTATCAAGAAAGTTATTTTTACCTTTCCTGTAACCTCATTAATGCAGGATGGTGAAAGATAAGGAGAGAACAGAAATCAACACAGGGAAGTGGCTGAATCCACCAGGACTCTTCTCTCCTCATTCTCTTTCCTTGACTTCTATCATGAGGATCATAGTCATTTTTCAAGGAAAACCTTGGGGCAGATTATAATTTTGTATTAATCACACCAATATTACCCTACTGAGTTGAGATAAGGTTAGCTATAATGCATAACTACTCATGAACTTTTAAATATTTGCCTTATATAGTCTATCAAATCAAATCTTGACTAAAAGTTCTTACAGAGAAGGACAGCAGCTTGCCATTTTGATCTTTGACACATTTTTGTTAACCCCAATTTATTTTGTAACTAAAAAATACATTGAAAGATTTTTGTATTGACTCAACTAGAGTAATCATCTCATCATTTTATCTCCTAGGCTTGCCCTAAGCTAGAATATATTCTTAATATTGAGGTAGAGTGGGATATTCTGTTAGAAGAGGGAGGAATTCAATATAATCCCATTGGGGTGGAAGGCAGTGGGAAATAAGCTAAAAAGTGTTCCATATTTTATACTGCCTTTCTACTTTGTCTCCCTCACTCTCTGCCTTTAATCTTAAGTTCTATTCAAGAATATATCATTTCCAGAAATAGTGGAGAATGGAGAAGAGAGAAAAAGAGCAATTGTCTGGACATTTCTTTCTGAACACATTTTGTTATATAATTTAACTCAAGGTTTGTATTTGACACTTATATTTTCTCCTTCTCTTCTGAAGAGACAGTAGGCTTGTGTGCTCAAATGCCATCTTAAAAGTAGAGGATATAAGAAAAATGTTTGCCTTTCTCCCATACAGCGCAGACCACTGCTATGAAAAGAATCCCTATGTTAACCTAGTAGGCCAACTCCAGGGAGCCTGCTGGATGTCCCTGCTGGCAGTCAGGCAGCAGTGCAGAAGGTCTATATAGTGTACACCCAATATCTCTTATTTTGATTAACTTAATTCACCTATTATGGAAAATGTACCATTAATGACATCATTCAAGACAAAAATGATTAGTCTGTAATATCTTATCCATAGTTTTTGAATCTAAGATGTCCACTGAGACTTTTCAATTTATATTGTATTGGTGGGATTAAATATTCCTGCTCTGACAATATATGTGCTTTTCTTTTTACTAAGGCACTTGTGGTGCAGTAGGCACTTGCTGCTTTGGGTTATATGTCTGGTGTGATCTCTTAGCTGATTTTGCTAATAAATTGACAAGTAAGAACATTATATTTTCAGGTAACTCTCCCTATACCTTCCTTTGTATAAAAGCATAATATTGTCCACTTTCATTTAGTTCCATTAAATCAAAAGGTTAAGAAAAGCCAAAGGGAAATCTTGTGGGAGTTTTCAGTCTAGTGTACACATAGATACTAGCAGTTCTACTCCAAAACCACATGACACACTCATAAAATCAGATACAGGTATCTCTTTGATTAAGAGGTACAGTGAAGATGAGCTTGATACCAGTATTATGCATAGCATTCACTTGTATCAGAGAGTTTTGGTATTTGCTGACCAAATTATATGCTCTGTTATGAAATATTAAATAGGACATCTTAGAAAACATATTGATATTGAATTATGAAAAAATAAGTACCCCAATAATAAGGTTTAAAAGGTTAATACTAGGCATCACAGTTTTGCAGCTTGCCAAAACTGGCTGTTTATCCACTTGTCTATACAAAAAAAACAATAAATTTATAATAATTTTTTTGGCAGCCTTACTTGTCAATATTCCATCACATCAAATATCTTGATATACTTGACCATAACATCTTAGAAATAGGCATTTTGATACATATCATGACACATCTTCCCAAGTCAAAAGATTTGTGCTAATTCTGGGTATATATTGTGAATATAAATGTCGTGTCAATGTGTTTCTTAAATTTATATAATCTACTGGATAGTGTTACAGGAAATCTATTTAAACTCTGGAAATATCCATCATTTTAAATATTCTAAAAATGAGAAATTTCTACAGTCAACATTTACTGATGATGTCCAATAAAAAGACAAAAAGGCCAAACATGTCATATAAAATTGAGGTCTCCCTTTTTCTTTCTCCTGATAAATATTTTCCTTATATTTAGAAAACACAAGCTTCAATTCTTTCTACTGTGGGGGACAATGTAAAAGCTTGCACAGTTGAAAAATGGTTCTTATATAATCACCAGTATTTTGTCTGTTACCTGTCTCAATGATTTGGTGATAATGAATACTTCTTTGCTGATAATGTATTCCAAATTTCTTTTAAGTCAGCAAAGTCACTTTCTCTGAGCATGGGTTTTGTTTGTTGTTTGTTTGTTTGTTTACAAGAGCAATCATCAAACCTATTCATGACTGGCTTTTACTGGTCCTGATGCAAAGGCTATCTTTTGATCACTTATTTATGAGTATGATGTTGCTTTATAAGACATAATTGTAGAATGAAATATTTAAACATTCTCTGACAGATCTCCAGTAAAGCAATATGAATTTACATTAAAAAGAATAGATGTTAATGAATACTAATTATCAATATAAGTCAGTTTACAAGGATTGTCAAAAAACTCTCTATTCTGCTTTGCCACACAGAAAAAAAGAATTCTAATAATCAATTCAGCTAGAAAGCTAATTTATATTACTTGTTAATCATGCTGATGACTTTGTTATCATGGGTAGGGCATCATTTTTCACGTTAGGAATTTTCTCTTCTTCTCATCCTCATTATGGAAACAAATAAAAAAACAAAAAATAAATTGCATCCTTATTTCTAAAGCCCATCTCCAACATCCTTGCTTCCTGTAATGCACAAAACGGCATTTAAATAGCTACTGCTAACTTGGTGCATTTAGCCTCTCATGGCTGTTTACAACCTGCTTCCTACCTTCCTCTGTTCCCTTTGCTAGTGAGTGAACTTCTCATTAATAAAACCTAATGTTTACAAGACAAAAATAACATCCCTAAGTTGGCAAGTGATTTTGCCCTATTTTCAGATGAGATAAGTATTACATATTAATTAGAGGTGCTTAGAATCTTAGGTCAGTTTTGCAATAAAATTTTTCAGGTGCATTTTATGGGTATTTGAAGACCATCAACCCATGTTAACTGACTTTTTGTTTTTCATTTTTTTTTTTTTAAATAAAAGGATTTGGAAAGGTAACCTACCTTTATGTGACAGGCGTAACCGGGGGTGGGGGGTATCAGCTGTGTGACCTCCCGTCCACAGCTCCAGTAAGTAACCCCACAGGAGCAAGGTGATAATATGCCCAGCGGATGCCATGCTGCCGCGCTCCCACCGTGCAAGCCCTCTCCGCTCCTCACTTTCAGGAGGGTTTGAGTTTTACTTAGGACTTCCCTCCAGGGGCAGCGTGCGAGAGGCTTTGTCAGAAATCGAACGCGTTGTCATCAAAAAGCACAGTTCCAAAGTGCCATTTGTCAGGCTGTATTTGGATATGTAAAACCTTTCTTTCCTCAGGACAGTTGTTTATAAGCCGGGAGCAAGAGGACATTCCAAAGAGCGCGTCTTCAGAGCCATGTCCTGTCTAGAGCTCTCTTCAGCAACTAAGCCGGTGGATTCTGAAAGAAGCTGTATTTTTTAGTCACTTAGGCGAGCAATTCATTCAGAAAAAAAAAAAAAAGAGAGAGAGAGAGAGAGAAACATACAGAGCACACGCACTGCTGCTTTCTCCGTGGATCACTTCTCCTCTGGCTCGCTGAAGCCTCTCAGAAGTCAGCCTCTTGCACTGACTTGCCAAACTGCTAGTTTTAATTCACCTTTTACCTTGCTAATTAAAAACAAGAAGTGCCATTCCCTCTAGGAGTTGCAGGATCCACCCAGCAGGGATGCCGTCTGTCAGTGCGCTGTGTTTACAGGAAAGTTCAGGCAGGGTTGAGCAGCCTACTTGCTGTTTCTAGGAAGTATTTCTGGTCCATGTGCCCTGCTCCCGTCCGCCCTCCCACTTATAATCAACCCCACGTTACTCAGCAGAGGAGAGAAGTCCGCCCTTTGATGGAGGAGAGGGGTGAATCAGGAGGGGCATGATATATAACAGCTTGATTATTTAACAATATGTAACAGACAAGGATGTAGTGTCAGAAAGGGCTTTTAAATGCTCACTTACTCAGATTAATCCTTGAATAGATGCGATTTCATTTTTTAAATAACCTATGTGTAGCTATGCAATACCCAAATTGATTTCCCCACAGTTTCCATATATATATATATATTTTTTTCTCACTACAGTTAAGGCTTTTTGTATTGCTTATATCTTAGAAATGTTATTTTTAACTCTTTTAAAGAAAGTGTGTATCAAGAGCCTGAAAAACAAATGTCATCTGTGATTATTTCATAGACTTGTTAGACCTAACAAACTATTTGCTCAGGCAAATTCTTCAAAGCAAATCCTTTTTCCTAAAGCAAGTCATAAATTTCACTTCAAATTTAAGAATAATTAAATGTTAAAGTAATTTTCTTCTAGTTAAGGTAACCATGGTAAAGTTGAAATTCACTACCCAAGGGATCCCTGTAAAACAGGTATTAGAACACTCAGGATGTGAAATACCTCAGGCTTCAACTGCTATGCACTTTCAAAGTTTATTTTCCAAGACACTATGTTTGTGTAAATAAGCTTAACACAATAGGTCAACTTTACAATCTACTTTCAATCAATCTCAAAAACTAAGCCAAACACTTTGGAGCTGTTGGCATGGAAATGAATGGTATTATTTTAAGATACCAATAAACTTGAATAGATATTTAATTTGATAGTGGAGAGTTAAATGGTAAACAAATGATCTCAACTATGATAACTTTTTCTTATTCTGTATTTTAAATGATAATGGCGAAGGACACTTTTTTGAGAATTATTATTTTAAAACATGTACTTATAACAAAAAGATAGCATAAGTCACCCTGATATTTTGCATTATATTTAAGCAAATGTACAGTCAGACATTCTTTGCCCATTTTTTAAAGCATGATACATTCTTACACAAGCTGAATATATTTAGCAAAATGTATTTAGCAAAATGTAAATGTCACTGGATATTATAAATAATTAGATTTCCAATGTCTACAAAAGATAACAAACTCTAAACATTATTTAACAGTAAAGCAACATGAAGTATTTAGAGACTTTTAACCTGGGGTGGTCTCTGTAAGCGCTTGCATATTTTAAAAGCCATTCTGATGAGCTACAGACCTAAAGGTTGCTCTAAATGTAATATACTATGCCTTTGAAATCCTCTTCCAGAAGTGAAGTAAACTACAAAATAAATAGCAGCGTTTATATGCATTATTTAATAGTCAAATTCTGGGGGAAAGTCAGCTTTTATATGCATTATTTAACAGTAAAATTCTGAGAAAAGTCAATGCAGTACCTATAACTTTTTTACAAATACATGGCTACCGTCATACAGCTGAAATTCTACTTAAGATTGCACAGTGCCTGTCCTAACTCATTATGGAATTGAGGCAATGTAAGACATTTCAACCATTTCATTAGCACAAAAAATGCACACCACTAACTGTCAATGGGAGAATAAATGTTATGAATGCCACGATTTGTCTTCAGTTTTATACGTCATCCTTCAGATTAAGTTAGGGTAATTTTGAAGTACATGCCAGAATAATGGATTCTTTGAGTTTCCCAGAATGTGCTTTGGTTTATTTGTTAGTCATCAATGTCATTACTTACTTCCTTTAATTACTCTTTATGTCCTTCTTTCTCTTTATCCTACAGAAAACATATAAATGATACCAAAAAGTGACTATTAAGAAAGCTAAACATCTAGATCTATCCGTAGCCTCAGGTTCCCCATGTAGATTTAGCCATGAGCATTGGAGTAAAGAGCCTTTGGAACCAATTAGTCATTCATATCAAAAAATAAAACAAGAAAAATCCTCAGGAGCAGGGTCACCATATAATTTGTCAACCAAACAAGGATTTTTTTTTTTTGAGAGTAAAAGAGGCTTCTATTAATAATCACATACAAACCAAGAATATTATGGACAAATCAGACCATCAAAATCACACTACTTGGGAGAGATGTTAGGATCCCCTTAGGAAACATGGAAATGGAAAAACTAAACAAACCAACCCAGACTTACCATCAACAGTAAGTGAAAAGCTTTAGTGAGCTAAAGAGCTTTGGGATTAACAACGATATCTGGTGATATTATTGTATTTGATTTGTACTAGTTTGAACAGTATCAGACAATATGGAAAACCAGATGAGAAGAGAAATGCCAGTTCTGAAGGTATTGCTTGCCATGTCAAGGGTTTTATTCTCAAATCTCCCATTGCTGCTAGTCTTACATCATTGTATGAAGAATAATCTCAATCTAGCAGTAAGGGAGAACAAAAAGAAAAACTGAGTACTCATCAGGAGTTCCAGGTTTCCCCATGATACCTTCTGTCACTGGTTTGCCAATTTTAACAACAAAAGAGCAACTGGACTCTAGAACAATTCTTCTCAGTATATGGTCCCAGACTATCCGCTGCTGAATAACATGGGATACTTGTTAAAAGAGCAGATTCCTACGTCCCACCCCATGTTCCCAGTGTGCCTGAAATTTTACATGCTAAAATTTAAATTTTACTGATGTTCCTTTAGGCCAGTGTTACCCAACCATTAGGCATCTGTTTGCCACATTTACCATTTTTCTTATAATGCATAATATCTACAATTAAACTGTAACTTAAATTTGCATAAAATGGAAACCCTTTCCCCATAGGCTTGATATGCTACTTACGTTTTTCAAAGGCATAATAAAGCAAACAAAAAATGTCAAAGTTTATCTCTCTACCACTTAAAATTATCTTGCATACTATGGGAGACAGTACTCACCAATATCATCAACATTCCTTTCTGGGCATATGAGAAGACCATACTTACCAGCCCCTTGGCAGTCATGTAAAGTCATTTGATTAATTCTGATCAAATAAATATAAGCAAAAGTGATGTGTATCACATCTGGGCTGAAGCAGTGAAATATTCCTATGAAATCCTTTTGTCTTTCTCAAGTCCTTTCCGTAGCAATGGAGGAGAATTTACCTTGAAATGGTGGAACCACGAGATTAAAACATCTTGGTTTATTGAATTGCCACAGCGGGGACGTTTGCCCTGGAAAGTGATTCAGACCCACAACAGACTTTATTTGAGTAGGAACTAAACATATTATTATGTATTAAGCTACTTAGTTTATTTGTTACCACAGCATAACATAGCCTCTCCTGAATAAGACAGGCTTTGGGAAACATGATTTTGGATAAACATATAGCATCAACAAGTTATTGATACTGTATTCCTATCTGTCACTAAAACTTAAGAAGAAGTTATTAATACAGGTGGGGAGATAACCCAGTAAGAGGTAAAGTGATTTCTGTGTCAACTTTTAAAAAGAGGTGGAGTATACGCAATTTTTCCAATTGAACATTTACACAAAATAATGTCATATGCATCATGTATAGGTGAACAACATGGTACCACACCTCAAGAACATTATGAATAAGACCACTAATAAATCAAAGTACCACAATAGCAATGATGATGATCCTTTTTAGAACTGAAGACAGAATTTCTCTATGGTGGTTATGGCATTGCAGCTTCACTAATCCAATCCTTCTTCTACTCTGCTAGCTCTGCTAGCCCAATGATCTCCAATCTGAAGCACCTCAACTGTCCCCCCAGTATGACCTGCTGCTGTCACCAGCGCTGCTGCTGGGTTTTTCAAGCCAAGATTCCTGATGCTCTTATTGGTCATTGAGTTCGAATGCCTTGTATCAGAGAATCTGTAAGGGATTCAACATCTGGATTGACTGTTTCCCACATTCAGTAATTCAAGAAGATGAGGACAAATAGATAACTAAATTACTCCTGATTTGTATTCTACTGAGAATAGACCCAACGAATGGAATCCCATCAATTTTTACCATCCAGGATCCAATCCATTCACCTGCCTGAAAGAGATTTGACTGATGCCATTCTGATGTCATCATGTAGATCGATAACAACTCAATAAATTAGCTTTGTATTTTTATATTTTGATCAGCTATCCTAAAAACCAAAACAACTCATAAAATTTGTGCAAAATTACTCTTTTATAAAGTTTTCAAATTCTTTGTTTTTGACTTATACTAGGTATATTCGCATTTTCTTTTAGGGCTTTGATAATAAAGAAAAGCAGAAGCAGCATCTTGAGACAGGTGCTAGTTTTAATGAATTTTAATCAAAGAGCAGTGATGATTCTCATGTCCTTTTTACAACAAAATAAATTATTATGGGTGTAATTAATTCTGAAAATCCTTCAATTTGTAGGTTCTGGGAGGTTTCCCTATACTCTTCCTTATGGGTTATAGGGAATTCCTAAAGAAAGGCAGAGCTCCAATCAGTTGCCTAAAAAAATGTAACAGAAACTTCCATAACATACCTTATTGGTTTTTGTGTCTGTTGTAATATATTTGTGAATTATTTGTGGCACCAATGGTGAATTTGTTGTAATGTGTTGGTAGTACTTTCAATACCTAACACTGTACTTCAAAGTGATTCTACTTTAAAAGGAGCAAAAGCAATGATTACTGTTAATTTGTTATTTTCTATATGTTAGGCACCATGCAAGACATATTCATATATGATTCAGTTAAACCCAGAAAACAGCCCTATGCAATAGATACCATTTTTATTGCTACTTCCCCATAAGGGGAATCTAGGACACAGATGCTAAGTAACTTGCCTAGGGTGAAAAACCAGTAAGTGGCACAATGGCCATGTCAAACCCAGACACCAGGGTCTGTGTTCTAATCATTACATTACCTTTTCGGAGAAAATTATTTATGCAAGACTTCATAATGGTTCTTTCAAATACTATACGAGCAGAAAGCTACCTTTAATAAATGTTAACAATGAACTATATACACACTTAAAATAAAAATCTTTTA